CCTTGTTTGGAATATAACATGCTATCATTCAACATCGGTTCAATAAATGCATCTTCACTGAGTGTGAATTCTTAAGTTGTGTCTCCCCAACTACCAAGCTTTTCTATGTCCCAAGATGATTCATATCCATTGGTGGGTTCTTGTAACGGCTTTTTATGTATGGTGTATAGCTTCAAATTATTTATATAAATTCAGCTATTCAAAAATATAAAATTGTTAAGAGCCTAATCTTTATGTGTCGAAATGTGTTAAATCTTAAGAATCAACACTATATGGTTTTGTGTGTGATTCTGTAAGTGATGATTATAAGATAATTGCTATATATTTGTAATTATTGCAGAAGATAATCGTTATATTGTTCGAATATAATCTGTGAAGAATGAGTCTTGGAAAAACATTGGCACTATTCCGGCTGGTTATCACTTGTTTGACCAAAGTATAGTTTCATTAGATGATATAGTTAACATGATGGAAACTAGATCGGTTGAAGGAAATGGTAGTAGTGAATTTAATAATTTTTCCATTATTTCTTTGATTGTGGCAAATGAGAAATTTGTTGTAACACCTGTCCTATCGCAACATTTGGTAGTCATATGAAGATATCTAGTTTTGCTAATCGTCTCTATCTTTATGTGTTTGTTGAAATGGATTTCTTGGTCTGTTTGCTAGAGTAAAATGGAGAATGGTGGGCATGAACTAATGTCATGAAAATTCCTACACTAGGCTCATTCGTTGGCATTGGGAATCAAAATTGCTACCTAGATGATATAATATAGTTGAAAGAAAATAAGAATATCTCATAGAGAAAAAGAGATGGCGGTTTTCTAGAATATGACATCCAAAAAAAAGAAGTGGACGAGTTTACCTTGATTCAAATTTCGCCTACTACAGATTCATCCATTGTGTTCACAGGATGTTTAGCTTCCTTGAGAATTCTATAGGACTAGAAGTTTGTGGAAAGTTTAGCTTCCTTGAAAATTCAATGGAGCTAGAAAACTAGATTATTAATTTGTATTTTATTGTATTTTATTATAATTTTTGTGTGATTAATGATGAGACTCTTATTGTCTCCGATGCGTAGAATGTTGTGAAGCAGTTATCAACTTTCATCATGGTTTGTTAAAGTTATTAGATATTTGACATTAGCTCCTTCCGTTTGGAATGATTATGTTATATTTTGTGAAAACATGTTAGTTTCTTGAAATGTCATGATTTTTCATGTCATGTCTATAGTTTTATTCCTATAATTATACATGAAAATGCTTTTAATAGTGTACAGATCTAGAATATTAACATTTTAGCTAATTTTTAATTCAATTAGAAAGAAATTTGAATGGCTATTGACCATTAGAAATTGTAATAAATCCCCATAAGATAAATATTGATGGAAGGAGAAAAAATTCTGAGTGGTAGGGATTGATTATAATAAGTTGTAGATTTCATGAGTTAAAACAAGGAAGAAGGATTCCAATCATATATATGGAGGTACCTAACATTGCTTCTTAATTTGATTGATTAGGAAGGTTTTCATCATGAGAACGGAATGTTTATAGACAGATTTCGCAAAGGCAAACTCTAGATACGATGTGTTATGCGTAAATTCTTAAGAGGCAGAAGGGGGATGCACAAGGTAGAAAATTGTGAAGGAAATTAGTTCTTTATTCCCTTTATATCATAACTAGTCTATGCTTAAAAGCACTAAGGAATCATCTAAAAAGTATGATCATTTACTATCCATGATGGCTACATGGTTTATGGAGACTTGAGTTATTATGAACTCGCGTCCCCATATCGGTGCTCAATACTACTCCCAAAAATGTACTTAGCTCATATGTTTTTAAAACAAAACTTTTTTCTTTGGTTTGAGATAATTACTCAAAACTTAGCTTAAAAGCTCTCTTGGAATCGATGTTCCCTTTCTTGCTCAAATGTGAAAACATTTCTAACTTTTGGGAATACTTAGTTCCCGTATACTCTTCGAAGAAATGAACTTTACTCTTAACTCTTTAGTCAACTCAAGCTTAAGTCTTAACACAAAGTTAAAACGTTAAACTCTATGAACTTCACTTAACTCTTAACCTCTTTACTTGACTCTTAACTTTCCTTGAATTTGAATTTATGGATTCAAGGTTATGCTTCAAGTTTACAGATGATTTCTAGGTGTTTATAAATCATTTAGAGTAGTTAGAATCAATTGGAAGTGTTAGTACACTTTAGAAGGACTTAAACGGGCTAAACGATGAAAAACGGGTTGGGGTGGACGGCCCTGGCGCACTTCTGGCGCGCCGCCCCAGCCTCTCTAGCGCAGATGGGGCGTGCCGCGCCAGGCCCTCCCCAGGTGAATTCCTGACGAATTTTCTTCTCGTTTTATAACCTTAATTTGATTAAACTCAATTCTTTTTCTCAATATCTTCTTAGATTCAGATACCCAAAACATATACACTAACACTGGAATCTAACTCGAAACAACTCTTAAAATCGATAAGACATCTCAAGAAAACTCATCAATCCCATATAAGTTCAAGAATGAAAGCAATTCAAGAACACAACTCAAGAACATCAAATCCTCAATCTTTTAGGACGAAAATTACATTGAATTAAATATGTTTGGCGCGTGGGTGAACGAACCCAACGCTATGTTAACTCACATACCTCGTAGGATTAAAACCTTGGCGAAATCCACAACCAAATTGTACGATCTTGACGAATCTTGCCTTTTCTCCTTCTTTCTCCTCCTTTCTCCTTTCTCCAAGCCCTAGCGTAAATTTCCAATTTTCTAAACTGACCAAATTCTGAATTGACCCCAATTAAACTCCTAAAATCGAATTAAAATAATTGGGTAAGGAAAAGACTAATATACCCTTTCAAAATCCGGTTTAGACTTTCCTTAATTGAACAACCCAACTTCAAATGGGCATATCTCACTCATACGAACTTGGAATCGCGCAAGCTCAGCGGCGTTGGAAAGATTATTCCATGATCTTCCCTACAATATCTGGAAACACACCTAACTCATCCTGAGCTACGAGTTATTGTCGCTTGAAGTTGACCAAAAACTCAATTTAACATACTTAACAAATTTTCCAGATTTTTATAGTTTTTCCAAAAATGACTATTTCCAATTTTTAACTTCTTTCTAGTTCTTTCAATTAGCGAGATGTTACACACATACCGAAACTGTAGAAAATTGAAGCACCATAAACATCGAAACCACATTTACCATCAAAACATCAGCAAAACTAGTATTTTAATTTCTTAAATTAAGCAATATTCAATTAAGTAACTTTGCTATTTGAGGAAGGATTATATATGTGAAATGAAAGTGAAATTTACAAGTTCAGGATCATGTATGTACATATATACAATATAAACATGACAATAATTGATTTGATAATTTATTATTGAAAACTCATACCTCCTCAACTCTGATGAAATTATGTTTGGACTATGTTGCATGAAAATTTAACAATCAGAACGATAAATCAATGGCAAGAGAAAACATAAAAATGAATAATATATAACTTGAAAAAAACATAAAAATGAATAATATATAACTTGAAAAGGGAATAGAAATTTAAACAATATAAACATGACAATAATTGATTTGATAATTTATTATTGAAAAAGCCATACCTCCTCAACTCTGATGAAATTATGTTTGGGGCTATGCTGCATGAAAATTTAACAATCAGAATGATAAATCAATGGCAAGAAAAACATAAAAATGAATAATATATAACTTGATTAAAAAACTTATTTGAAAAGGGAATAGAAATTTAAGAGACAATTCAAGTTATAAGCATCGATGTATTCTTGAACAGACAACAAAAGAAAGTGTCTTATATAAATCTTTAAGTCCTAATTGACTTTTCTTCTTCTGAAAAACCTTTCGATTCAATCAATAACCCTTTCGATTCAATCTTTTGTATTCTAGCAATTAAGATTCTTTACTAAAATTAATAGTGATTTATTATTATATTTTTTGTTAGAATAATGATTTATTGTTATAAAAATTGCTTATTTAAATCTTGATTGTTGCAAATTGCAATTAAGAGACTTTTTTAAAATTAAAATGTTATAAATTGCATATACACGTTTCACTATGCTAATTATGATTTATTATTTTTTGAAAGGTAATTAAAACATTATTGTTTAATATTTAGTTAGATTTTTTAATTATATTTTAATTTTTAATATAGAATAGGGGTAAAATGGTAATCCAACTTTAGAGTTTGAAGCTTCCCACTTTTAATAATATATGATATGATATGATGATATACATAATCTTCGCCATGATTCTGAGGGGAGATTTAAAAAGGAAAAAGTAGGAAAGCCATTTTAGGAAATTCTTCGATGTTTCTAGTTGTGTAATCATATGCCCTACAAAGTCTTACCTAATGTTTATTCATTATATTTGTTCGAACTATAATCTTCAGATCCAAGTATTCTCAATCAAAATCTCTTCTTCAAATGCTATTCAATACAAAGAGTATGGTCTTATATTTCCAAATTCATTTGGTCTAATACTGACCAAATTTCAGATAACTCTTATGTATACACCTGGTAATGAAACCAACATATTAATCAATATCGCCCCTTCGTTCTAAAATCATACCTACATTTATTTTCTAGGAGCTGTGGAAAAAAGATTAGATCTCTACATGTACTCCTCGAATCATATAGATATGTGTAAAGTCTTTAACCTGAAATTAAGTTAATTAGATGGTCATTTGAATGGCCAGTTGTTGATCATATTGAACTTCAACTGTGTAATATTCTTGTAAAATGGGTCTGAGTGGGAGGTATTATTAGAAAATTGAATTAGGAACATGATTATGACATTCTGATATCTCACTTAATACAGATGGGAGATACATGTGAAATCAAAAAAGGTTTGAGTAAGAGGTATTATTAGAAATGAAATTAAGAACATGATCATGACATTCGATTGGTCACAACTCAAGAATATAAGTCGTGATGGAACATATGGTCCCAGCCAATATGTAAGTCAACCCAATAAGTTTACCAATTCAACTTAAATATGTGACAAGTAAAATATCATGTACACTAAGTCTTTCACAAATATAAAATGTGATAAGCTAAAATACTATCCCAGATTTAGTGTCATAAGTACATGAACTTATAAAACATGATGTCATTCTCAAACTAAAATGATATTTCTAGACGTAAGAAATATCATGTCTTAATATTAGACCAACAGGATAAATAAAAAGTTAGAGGGAGATGTGGACCATGGATCAGCCTAGCAACTCACTACAACTCCAAGATAACTCAAGCTTAAACTCGGTAAGCTCCGCGAGATGCGCTCATATTCAAATTCAATCTGCACCACAAAAGAATGCAATAAGTATAGTATGAGTACGAAATCACGTGTACCTAGTATGTCTCATAGACCGACAAAGAAGAAGTAGCGACATGAGTATATAAGAAAATCATCCTTTAATTTTTCAAGTCTACATTATACTTATCAGCCAAGTTTCATCTGAAAGGGAGAAACAAATGACACATTATATTCAAACACCAGTGAAGCATATAATCAAACAAGAATGAATTATATAATGAGATGCAATGTGGCACCATGAAATTATGTGAAGTACTCTCTCAATCGTATATACACGATAATTCTCAGAAAAACATCGAGATTTCATGACTCATGGAGGACTCGCAAGGTCCATATACCGACACGGATGATCTCCACATGTATGTGTTGACGATCTCAATGCTCTACCATAAAATCAAACCATCCCCAACATAGACAATCTCCACATGCCCAACTTATAAAAATAATTTAAACTCAACATGGACGATCTCCATGTGTCAGGCCTTTATTCATACTCAATCCCATGTCAATGCATGTGCACAATATAATATCAACAAAATAGGGGGATGATGATGCATCTCAATCAATCAATATTGATTTAACATAGAATCACCTCAACTATCATAAATTTACGGGTTCAATAAAGAAACACAACCACACTAAGAAAAAGAGTCAATCATACATCAGCTAATGTCCATATGCTTTTGCATTCTCTAATTACAATATGTCATTCATAGTAACAAACTTTCCCTTCTATAACACTAGTACTCTTACCAATGCCCGTCACGCCATTGGTACGAGACTCCATTTGTCGCTCTAACCCATTACCTATTCCACTTTTAATCTTTAATTAGAAAAACGTCCATCGATGAAGTCTATGAATTCTTAACATACCTCGAATGCCGAACAAGTGTCACGAATCCTCAAGATTTTGCCTTCCTTTTTGCAAAGTTTCAAAACATTCCTAAACTATAAAATATACATTATTTGTAAGTAAACGAGTTTGTACACACCCATTTTGCTATACTTCTAACCCATACCCCAAAACTCACCGAAAAAGTTTAATCGAAGCTCACAAGGACAATTTGGAATTTTAGTAAAATTATATAAGATAGTATATTCTTAATTTACCCATAAATCATAGAGAACAAATCTATAATCAAGTTCCTAATCTTGATGCTTCATATCCCAACTCTCATATTTCTTAAATTCAATCTAGGGTCAAGTCTCATTTTCTCCAAATAACATAAATCTAATGGTATTCAAATAATACAGTGCACCTAATATTAAATTACCTATCACAATGTGTCAAAACATGAATCGTAATGTGATAACTAAAAATAAATACAAATAAAAAGAGGAACCAACGAGTTCTGGAAAATATACCTTAATGAAATTGCAATTTCTCTATTCCACTAACATATCCCATCTTAGCTCATCATTACTCATGATTTTACCTAGCAACAATTTCTTTCTTGATTTAATCAAAAAATGTAAAGAATCACATTGCAACATCTCCAAAAAATGTTTTGCAAAAAAAATCAATTTCTCCCCCCCCCCCACCAACACATATATGGCTAAATCAATGTATGCAGACACAACATTACAACCTAACTGAAATTTTGTTACCTGGAGAGTTGTCACTCTTCGTTGCTATTGCGCCAACAAAGTCTTGTTTAACAGCTGCTCTCTCCTTCTCTTCTTCAAAAAATTCTTATGAACCAAAAAATCTAAATTTCACTATTTATTTTACATACGGGCCAACTGACATAGGCCATATATACTTGGCCCATTAACAATAACCTAAATTAGTTATTTAAAGGAATACTCATCAATTAAATAAATGTAGTTAAACAAATAGTTTAAAATTCCCATTTAAAAATTACGGGAAGGGTATTTTATAAAAATAATAAAAGGAAGAAGAAATAGTTCTACTACTCAAAACAATCAAACAGGTCGTTACAAAATTGAACTCTCTTTTAGTGGTTAAAATGATCAATGAAATTATAAAAGTATCATTGAGAATTCAAAGAATTAGTGAAGAGATCATATCTAAGATTGTCCAATGGAACATAAAAGTTAAACATTGTTAGAGGAAGGAAATGAAGTCGCAAATGTATCAGATAAACAAGATAGACTTATCTAGGAACCCACTATTGTTCTACCTTTTCTAAATAAGAGGTCTGCCGATTATTGAAAATGGGTTAACTGAGAATGAACAAGCTTCAACTACCTTCATTCAGAAGAAAAAAAAGTACAAGTTGGTACTTAGACACCCCATGATTTCTACTTTCTGATTAGATCTGTTGGTTGTCTTGGTGTGATCTGAGTGCATTTAGGTCCCCTTTTTTGTTATCTTGGAAGATCTTTGGATCATTACTCTAAATAGGAGGAAATTTATTTTATTTCCTAATATGTAAAATCAGGTAAGGTACTATGTGATTAGAACTCAACTATTATAACACCCCAAAAATTTCTAAGCTAAGACCCAAACTATTCTTCATTAACATAAAAGGTCATGTCGGGTGATTAGTAAATTGCCCGTATTTTTAAAGGTAAATTGTTTAGTATGGGAATGATTTTGGATATCAATTAAGATCACTAAAAACTCTTAGCACAAAGTTAAATTGTAAGTTTTCTTACCGATTAAGTTTTGATATAAGATTTTACTTGGGTCAACTTTAAACGACCATATCTCTTAGAATATAAAGAGTTACGTGTCCCATAACCTATCAAATTAAAGGTATTTGAATCTTCTTTCCAACGCCTCCAATTTCGCGTCAATCCTAGCTTCGACTATAGAGTAATGACTATTTTAGTAACCTAATACAGTGTAGTGACGAATTAGCCGACGAGAAAACATTAAAAAGAGTCGCTTTTGTCCTTTTACCTCTAAGAAAACCCTAAACGAATTTCTTGACTAATTAGAGACCCAAAACAATCAGATTTTCATATTTTAATCCATCATCTATTCTCTCTCAAACTCTAAGGCAAAACCCTAAGGAAAAATAAAAGTAGAAGACTCCATTCAAGATTCTTTCAATCTTTTTCAAGATTGTTCTTCAAGGTAAGTCTTTCTCCAAGAATTCTATTCTTTCCAACTCAAATCCCTCCATACAATTATGAATCACTAATGAAAATCATAATTCTTGGTCATAGAGTTTCAAGAAACCAATTCAAGAAATCTTAAGAAATGTTTTCTTGATTTTTCTTCTTCAAGCTAGGGTTTCAAGGCTTCTAATCAAGTTCTTTTTCAAGATTCTTCAAGAACCTTGTTCTTCAAGGTATGTAAGGCTATCAAAGTGTTGGAATAGTTCGTCCCCATGCCTTACATCTTGTAACACCTCAGAATCTAGTAGACTAAGCAAGGGGGCTAATGAAAAGTCACAAGGCAAGGATTTGAGCCTGGGCACCCTCCACGAAGGCCCAAACGGGGTGTGAAGGGAACCACGAGACGTGGTGTTGCCCGTGAAGGCTCCCAAAGTCAAGGCAAAAAGGGCTTCCCTCCCACGAGCACCTAGACGGCTCGTGGAGGGCACCATGTGTCATGGTGAAGCCCGTGAAGGGGAGGTAGTAGCTGCCTAGAATCTAACCCTCCACACGAGCCACTTGACAGCTCGTGGGAGCCAAGATGGCTCTTGGAAGGGGTCGTGATGGAAGGTCAGTTTTTGGGGTGGTTTGCCAAGCCCCTGGTGAAGGACCACGACTGCAACAACGGGCCGTGTGGTCCTTGACGGCTTGTGAAGCTAGGCGTGTGGGGGTGCAGTCAGTTGTAAGTTCAGGGGCAGTTAGGTCTTTTTCTAATTATTTTTTATTGATATTATGTCATTTTACCCATGCCTAGGAGCCTTATATAAGTGATTTTTGAACCCCAAAACTTATCCATTCAAGTCAATCTATTAAATTTTCCAAAAGAAATTGGGTTCTTCCTCTCTAAAATAATTCTCTCTCTAGAAACTTGAAGAAGAAGAAGGGCTGAAGCTACGACTCAAGGTCAAGTATGCATTCTCCAATTGTTTGTGGGCTTTGATAGAAAGGTATGATAGCTTTTCATCCATGGAATCCTTGCATCCATGGATCCCCTAAGTTCTCCCAATTGAAAAGTAGAAACTCCCCAATTTGAGTTAGGGTTTTCTTCTAAGTAATGGGTCTTTATGAATGTTGATTTAATTTATTGAATCATGGTTGATTCTACATGAATTGAGAGGATTCTATGCTTTTTATGATGAATTTACATGTTCCCATGCTTAACCCATGTTTCTAAGATGAAATTGATGTAAATGGGTTTTACTCTTTGAAAGGAGATATCGTGGATTTTTGTGCATTCTTATAGGATAAATAAGATATGATAAGTATTGTTTCGAGATTGAAGCATATGTGATGATTATGATATGAATTGCATTGAGAGTGAAGCATATGTTATGAACGGTTGATTATTGATGTAATTTTTGTGGAAGGGGATCTTTCCCACATGATTTTCTTATGTATGAATGTGAAAGACATTCTCACATTGAATGATTCTAGGTTGAAAGGATTGTTCACCTAAAATGAATCTAAGCTTAGGTACTATGAATATGATGAGGCTAGAGGCGATTAACCTTGACCTCTAATGAGAAGAATATGAGGTGATTACCCATATTCCTTAGAGTCGGACTAGAGGCGAATACCCATGATCCTAATTAAATGACAAGAGGCGAGTACCCATGTCATATGATAGAAAGACAAGAGGCGAATACCCATGTCACATGATGTAGGGACTATATGCAACTACCCATGATCCCATAGTAAGATGGACAAGAGACGACTACCCACAATCCTATACTAAGAGGGACAGAAGGAGACTACCCATGATCCCAAAATAAGAAGGGCTAGAGGCAATTACCCATGTTCCTTTATAGTAAGGCAAGAGATGATTCCCCATGTTTTTAAAAGATAATCTAGGATATGTTATGATAGGTGATGAGCTTGGATTGTTGCTTGAGTTTGTCTTCTATGATGAGTAAGAAGAGTGGTGGATTACACATTTCTTAACTAAGTATGAATTGAGGTTACTTCAAGAAGTACTCCTTATATGTGAAATAATATATTATGTGCATTGATTATGCTTTATGACTTATGTTGTCTAACTCTTATGTGATGCTTATGCAAGCTATCATATTTAGTACATTTTTGTACTAACGTATACTCTTGAAACATTTCTCATCCAAATGTAGGGTCCGGCATTCCCGATTCTCATCCTCGTGGCTAGGATCTATACTAGAAGAAGAAGTTGACGATTGGTGAGTCATCATTCATCCGAGGATATGACCACTACTCTTTATGTTTTTTTTCATCTTGAGTTTTGAACATTGACGTTGGGCTGTGTCCCAATATTCTATTGAATTAGATGGTTTTTGAGACAAGTGTATTAGACTTCCGCTTCATTTTATAAAACTTTTGTTATGTTCAAAATGTTTTAAATCTTATCGATTTTATATTATCTTGACTATGTATGCTAAGTGGCTTATATAAGGCCTCTGGGGTCTTCTATGCCATTTTACATCTAGGGGGTGCCCCTGGGTCCGGACAAACTTAGTAATCAGAGCACAAGGTTTAGAGAGGTTCTAGGATGTCTCAAAACCATGTCAAGTAGAGTCTTGTTCATTAGTGTGAAGCGTGCCACATTTATGAATGAGAGGCTACAAGATGTTTAGAAAACTGCACTTCTTCATTACTCTAAGTCGTGCGATAGAGTTTAACTCTATAAGGTCTCTCTCCTAATCCTTACCTGATGGTCTACAGGATATGACTACTCAGAGGGCTTATGCTAGAAAGAATGAAGGAGAAGATGTTGGTCAAGGAGCTCCTCCTCAAGCTCCTCAAGCTCTGGTTGACCCTTTAGCCGAGCAAGTGACTAATGCGGAGTTTAGGACTGCTTTTCAAGTTTTGGCTCAAGCCGTGATAGCCCAAGCCAATAGGGAGGTTATGGCCCTTGTGAACCCAAATATAGGTATGACGGTATCTATAGTGAGTGATTTCAGTAGGATGAATCCTCTAGAATTCTATGGTTCTAAGGTTGAGGAAGATCATCAAGAATTTATTGATGAGGTTTACAAGGTGTTGACTATTATGGGAGTTACTCTGGTGGAAAATGTGGAATTGGTCGCTTATCAACTTAAATGTGTTGCTCAAATTTGGTTCACCCAATGGAAGGAAGCAAGACTGGAAGATACGGGTCCCCTATAATGGGAAAGGTTCATTTGCTTTCCTTGATAGGTTGTTTCCTCTTGAGATAAGGGAGGCAAAAGTGCTTGAGTTTATCAAAATTCGACAAGGAAATATGAGTGTGAAAGAATATGCTTTGAGGTTCACTCAATTGTCAAGGTATGCTCCTTCTATAGTTTCCGACACTAGGGCAAGGATGAGCAAGTTCGTTTCGGGTGTGTCCGAATGGATGGTGAAAGAATGTCGTACAACTATGCTTATCCATGACATGGATATTTCTCATCTCATGGTTCATGCCCAAAAGATTGAAGAGGAGAAACTTAAGTAGATATCTAGGGAGACAAGAGGGCTAGAACCGGTGATGGTAATTTCTCTCATGCAAGTTCTGATGGATATGGTCATCCTAGGTTTCGACAAAGGTTTTCCGGAAAGGTTCCTCGAATGCTCCTAAGCTCAACAAAGAGAGGGTGTCTAACTCTAAACCTCAAGGAGGTGATAGT